ATGAATGAATGAATGAATGAATGAATGAATGAATGAATGAATGAATGAATGAATGTCTTCAGTACAGGTCATATCCCCATTAAGCATATCAAACTTTTTTAAAGAAAGCAATACAATGAATTGTTCTTATTTAAAACACCCACAGGATCAGTAAGGCAAGTGAATTTATTTCCCTTTTTATTCAAAATAGTTAGATATTCCTCTGTTTATTTCATTGGCAAAACTCAGAGCAATTAGTAATGAATTATCCATATAAATTAGTGAGCTAGTCAATAGCTACCATAATAAACAGCAATAAAAAGAAAAGCAAGTGCAGCAGATTAAAAAAAAAACTTTAAAAATTTCAAGACAGTCATAACAGAATCCTTAACCTGGCAAGTCAAATGGGGCCAAATGGTCTCAGTTTAAAGTACACAGCTGTACCCATAGTATTCATTTGGTCTATTTCGACTTACATTCTCAAAAATAACTGCCTCTTGCTAATAGGCATTTTTCACTTAGCTGAAAACCAGTTGATAAATCCTCTTTAAAATCTCATGTTTAAGACATATAGAAATGAAGAAATGAACAATGCAATTTTTAATTGTGACAAAGATGCTGAACACCAGTCATAAGTACATCAGTCAAAACCCCCAAACTGGGAATGGAATTAAGGGTGCAAACTATGTCCAAATCTTACCTCTAATAACTTTTGCTCTATACAATCTCATCACTTCCCTGGCTCTGCTCCCTCCCTGCCACTTCATTATAATCCCAGTCACCTTTGGGCAATTTGCAGATCCAGTCCAGTCTAACTTCACACTGCAGAGGCACCCACTGCAAGGATGCCAAGTCCAGTGCCACACAGTTACTGATGTCATCATCATCATGATTACTGCGGTCAAAGTTGTGGTAAGAAAACTAAAGGCCAAAATAAAATGGGACGCCATTAGTTCCAAAGAGATTTTGTTTCAGGAGGAAAACTTTCAGATCGTGTCTGGCTCCAGGTATGAAAGGGCCCAGATAGGCTGCTCTTGCTTCTCTGCCAGCACACTCTTGTTTCCTCCTCTCCAATAGAGAGAATTTTATTTGATTTCTTACAAAGTTGATAGGTTTTTCTGCTTTCAGTATAAACTTTTCAACTGCCTAATTGGTCTGAACAGAGAAAATTAATGCTACATTCAACAGCCTGTAGCTCAATCTGTAATTTTAAAAAGTTGATTCAATAAATAAATAAACGAATAAATATTGTCTAAATAGCTGTACTTTTCCATTTTATACTCCAAATATAAAATCCACTACACACCCCAAGACCATCACTCCAGCTCCAACTCTTCCCAGCTGTAGGGCCACGGCGATTCAAGCCAATCCAGAACCGGTGATGCTCGTGAATGTCAGGTTCCGGTTCCCTGGATGGTGCCAAAGAGAGAGGAGGAAAGAAAAAGATGATTGCATGGGAGAACCAATCTATTTGAATGAATTAAGAGAAGTACTCTAATTTTGCTTCTTCAAAACTGGTGCTAAGAACAGCTGAAACAATTCCTCTTCTTTTTCTTTTTCGTTTCCCCTGATTACTTGCCCAAAAGAAGAAGACCGCCACAATTTAAGTCAAGGCTTTTAGTGAGGTAAATTGGGCCTTTATAAAATATATGAAAAGACTCTGGATAAAAGTCAGTCAGAAATTTATACTATACAAGGGTCTAATATTACATGATTGTAGTACACTTTTAAGTACATTTTGCATTTAATTTAAAAGTATTTGCAGAGTAGTTGGCAGCACTAACTCCCAAGTAGTTGGCAGTCTTGTCTGATCTCAAAAAAGTTAAACGAGGATGTACCTACTTAGTACTTGGATGGGAGACCACCAGGATATCCCATAGCTGTGGGCTAGACTGGGAAGTCAAAAAGATTCCTGGAAGAAAGCAGTGGCAAACCACTTCTATACTGCTGTCAAGAAAACTACATAGACAGCGTCCATGTAGCCACCAGAAGCTGAGGTTAACCGAAGGCTGTTTTCATGTTTACCTAAGTGATACTGAATATTATTCTTTGCTTTCTCTACTGGCTTTTCCCAGGTATGTTGGGACTGTAACTCCCAGAATGCACAGAGCCTGGTTCTTAACCTTTCTCTTTTAGCCTATATCTTGAGCCAAACCATACCAGTAGAGGCGGTCCTCGTTTAACAACCACTTGTTCAGCAACTGTTAAACTTACAGCAGCACTGAACAAGTGGTATTTATGACCAGTCCTTGTACTTATGGCTGTTGCAGCATCTCTGTAGTCACATGATCCTGATTTGCAACCTTCCCTGCTGGCTTCCGACATGCAAAGTCAATGGGGAGGCCAGCAGGAAATCACAAGTTGTGGTCATGGGAAGTCCTTGCTTAATGTCCAACGTGGTCTTCGCTTAATGACAGCAACTGGGACTGCCAGAACTGCTGTCGCTAAACAGCGCAGTCAAATGGTTTTTCGACTTACAACCACATCGCATTGGGAGTTTCTGGTCCCAATTAGTGTCATTAAGTGAGAAATACCTGTAATAACAATCATAATATTATGTTCTGCAGATGAGGGACACTCATTTGCAAATGCATGTATATATTCAGGAGCATACAGGAATGCACAAATGCATGTAAGCCTGTAACTCCAAAGTGTACATTTTCTAATTAGTCACATAATTAGTTAAGTATTTAATTCATTCCTCACCCAAAAATCTTGTTGAGGGTGTTGGCCACAAAATGTTCCTCCTCATAATCACTCAAGCTCAAGAGCTGCGCTTTTAACTCCTGACAGAACGAATGTGCTGTGATCCAATTTTTCTTTTGCTGCAGCTTATCATAGTTGAATACCTGTCCAAAAATTAAGGAGAAAGGGGTAATTTCACAAACTTATCCCTGTTATTATGACTGACCATGACTTCTGTTAGTAATCTATGACAGGAAATGTCTCATGCAAATACGGGTAGCCTTCGAGTTACAACCATTCGTTCAGTAACCATTCGAAGTTACAACGGTGCTGGAAAATGGGCTTACAACTGTTCCCCAAAGTTATGGCCATTGTAGCACCCCACAGTCATGTGATTGCAATCTGGGCTCTGGCAACCCATTAGCACTTACGACCAGTTGCTAAGTATCCTGCAATCACCATTTACAACCTTCCATGCTGGCTTCCCACAAGCAAAGTCAATGGGGAAGCCAACAAAGGAGGTCACAAGTCACTCGGGTAAATCTCCCCCACCCATTCTGGTTTTTCTTTGCTCAGACGCACCGCACCCTCCTTCTCCCTTCGCTCACATGCACTGCACCCTCCTTCCCCCTTCGTTCGCTCACACCAGTATCCTCCTTCCCCTTTTGCTCACTTGCACACACTACGCCCCCTTTGCACTGTCCTGCAGCTCTGGGGCTTTGCAGGAGGAAGGAGAAAGCCAAACGAACAGCCAGCAGCTTCCAACATGAACTGCAGAGTGTTGCCAGAAGTCCTTCAGCACCCAGAAGTGCCCTGGAGAGTCAAGCAAAGGAGGGAAGGAGGGCGCAGTGCATGTACACAAGCAAGCAAAGGAGGGAAAGGCGGCGCTGGTACGTGCAATCAGGGAAGGAGAGCATGGTGCAATTGAGTGAAAGAGGGAAAGAGGGCGCTGGTGTGTGCAAGCGAGCGAAGGAGGGAAGGAAGGCATGGCGCATGCATGCAAGCAAGCAAAGGGAAGGAGGGCACTGGTGCCAGTGAGCGAAGCAGGGTGCAGAGCATGCGAGCAAGCAATGGGGAAAGAAGGGCCAAGAAGCCCCAGAACCACAGCATGGCATGTAGCTCAGAGACACACAGTTCTGGAACTGCTTGCCACCCCACAAGGCTGGGTGCAGAGCAGCTAAAAGGGCAGAGATGCGGGGGAGATAGGCAGGTGGGAGGGAGTTGTCGGCAGTCCCTTACTTTACTGAGGCTCAAGGCTGGTAGGGACCAAGCCTGGAATGGCTTGGATTGGAGCTAATGACCAGTGGAATTTGCATAACAACAGCAATGGGGAGTGCTGGGATTGCCGTAGCTAAGCAATGCGGTCACGTGGCATCGCACTTTGTGACCGCATTGCTTAGTGGCGGAAATTCCGATCCCAGTTGTGATTGTAAGCGGAGGACTATGTCAGGTATACCCCAAGAACAACGAGGCAATCCAGCACAGTACAGTTCCTTTATTAGCTTGCACCTAATAGACAGAATCTCGCCAGACTAAACCTACACTAAAGCAACTAGTGGCTCTAACCCGTGAGACTCTAGGGAGGGGCTGGCCTCCTCCTCTTTCTCTTCCCATGCTCTTGCTGCAGGCTGAGGAAGTGCTTGCTCTGGAATGCTTCCCCTCCCTCCTGATAACCTTGATCCTCCATTCCAGTATCTTCCTCACTCAAGCCTTCCATTACAGACTACTTGTATGGCACTGGAAAATGAGATACCCCATAAAAGACTGAATGCTTCATTGGAATAATATTCCTTCTCCTGAAGACTCAACAAAGGCAGAATCTGATAAATTTGCAAAAGGAGCATCATGCTTTTCTCATGAGTTGACTGGCATTTGGGATAGGATAATGTGAATGTCAAGTTTTATTCTTTCTATCTAAAGCCTTCAATATTGTTTGGGGTTTGGTTTTTCATTCATGCTTACAAAAAAACATATTCATAATGTGAGATAAATCTACACATCTACACATTCTACCTGTTTCCTTTCTCCTCAGTTCATAGGCATGTAACATTTCTCTTTCATGTGTTAATTCATTCCCCGATACCATTTGCTCTTACATTCCAAGTCATAATTTTCAATATTTATTTTACTTTTATTTATTGCTGTTTTTATATACCACTATAATTTGCATGGGCTTCTGGTGGTTTACAAACAATTTATTTTTAATTTATAATATATTTATTTATATATCAAATTTGTCACCACCTATCTTGTTAAAAATGACTCTGGGAGGTTTACAAAGCAGTTAAAATCAATTAAAAATACAATGTAAAAAGATCCTGAATAAATAGAAAATAAATAAAATCCAAGAATAGATGTTAAATTGGCAGTAACTCGGGGAGCGTCAAGGTGCCAGCCACTCCCAGGATTGGGTAAAATTCTTGTTGCCCCACACAAACTGGCAGAGCCAGGTCTATAATCCTTTCTGGAAAGCCGGGAGGGTAGGGGCCTGCTGCACCTCTGGGGGGTGAATATTCCAAAGGGTGGGGGCAACAGCAGAGAAGGCTCTCCTCCTGGGCCCTGCCAGCTGACATTCTTTCCCTGACGGGGTCCACAACATGCCTTCTCTGCCTGACCAGGTGGGATGGGTTTATGTAATGGGGGTGAGACGGCCCCTCAGGTAACCTGGACCCATGATATGTAAGGCTTTAAAGATGATAACCAACACCTTGAATTGTACCCAGAAGCAAACTGGCAACCAATGCAGGTCCCGCAGTAAAGGTGTTATATGTGCCATCCTTGAGGCACCTAAAATTGTCCATGTGGCCACATTTTGAACCAGCTATAGCTTCCAGATACTCTTCAAGGGTAGCCCCATGTAGAGCACATTGCAGTAGTCTACCAAGAGATGACCAGGGCATCAGTGACTGACCGGAGAGCCTCCTGATTCAGGAAAGGGTGTAACTGGTGCACCACACAAAGTTGGGCAAAAGCCCTCCTGGCCACAACTGCCACCTGCTCCTTGAGCAGGAGTTAGGAGGACTCCCAGATTATGCACCAGGTCTGTCTGGGGCAGTGCAACCCTGTCCAAAACCAAAGATGATAAATCTCCAGGTACCAAGGGGCCTCCAATCCATAGCCACTCCATCTTACCA